TTGCCAAGATTATGGACACACGCGCTCATATTGTAACCATTTTCCACGCTGTGTTCGCTGTGGCAAAAATCACCTTTCATCCCAGTGTGACAAACCAAATGACGTCCCGCCAACCTGCGCGCTGTGCCAAGGAAACCATCCCGCCAACTACCRTGGCTGTCAAATCCACAAGCAACTACAAAAGAATYGCAAGTTCACCTCAACACYAACCCCCCAAAATRTACACCCTCTCACACAAGAAACCTGCCCACAGGTGACCTCCTCGTTACCTCGCTCAACCAAAATTCAATCTAGTATATCTTACTCCCAAGCCACATCGGGTGGTAAACCAAACCCCTCGACTTCTTCCCCAGACGACTCCACCAATATCAACTCCGCTCTTAATGCCWTCATATCGGAAATTAAATCTTTAATAAACCCTCTCCTATCACTGCTCACTACAGTCGTCACTCAATTAATTAAAAATAACAATGATAAATAATCAGACAAATAACTCGCTCCTTATCCTCCTCTGGAACTGTARCGGTATTTTAAACCATACTAACGAACTAATTGCCATATTACACGAAAAAAGAATCGACATAGCCCTTATCGCTGAATCTCACCTAACAGTTAACTCAAGACTAAACATTCCTGGTTATCAAGTTATCTCCTCTAACCACCCTGATGGCACTGCCCATGCAGGCTCTGCGATCCTAATTCGCTCATCAATTCAATTTAATCGTCTCCCCATTTACAATAAAGACTATTTACAAGCCTGTGCAATTTCTATGATTATAAATCACATCCCCCTCTCAATAGCCGCTGCTTACTGTCCCCCAAGACACAACATAACTCCTGACCAATTCAAAACATTTTTTAATTACCTAGGACAACTCTTCTACAAATCATCTCCTACAAACGATATAAAGTTCACTCTCCCCCCCACCCAACTTATTGGCCCACATCCCCATCTAAACGTCCTGAAATCCTCGATATCTTCATCTCAAATGTACCAAACGGTCTCTACCAACACACCGAAAATTTTAACTTCCTTCTCTCTGATCATTCAGCCGTCCTCCTCACCCTTAACGCCTCACCGCCAATTCAATCACCCAAACCCTCACTAACAAACAAAAACACTGATTGGGGCTCATTTCAGTCACAACTTTCTAATGACACTAACCTAAATATAAAACTTAAATCTCCGTAAGACATCGAAGACGCTATTACCAAATTAAATCAATCGATACAAAGAGCCGCGTGGAACTCTACCCCAGTATAACAACCCTCCCCTCCCTTTTCCATAAACATTCCTGCTCATATACGTCATGTAATTAGCGAAAAACGCCGGGCAAGAACGCTATGACAACGAACCAAATATCCCTCGGATAAAAATCGTCTTAACTCCCTATCTACACAATTAAAAAGACTAATGTCGAACTTCAGAAACCAATCATTTACTAACTATATAGCCTCACTTTCCTTCAAAGATGGTTCTATCTGGAAAGCCACAAAAAAAGCTCTTAAAGAAAAACCCTCATATCCTCCCCTAAAATTACCTGACAACACATGGGCCATTGAGGACCCAGTTAAAGCTGACCTCTTTAAAACTCACCTAACCGAAGTCTTTAAACCTCATAATAATATAAACAACCCTGCTTTTTC